ATATGTATATATATATAAATTTCTGTATATATACATCATTATTTGTTTAACTGTTTCGTGTGCGGAAAATTCGTTTTTGTTTATGAAAAAATATTCAGATATAATTTTTTGGAAAAGAGAAAATCAGATTATATTGAATAACGAGGCACGAGATGAACGGTTGGTGCCGTTAGTACCCAGATCTTGTCCTATAATTTTCCAATTAAGGCATTGGATTCTCATAAATCCATGAGCACGGACAGCTTCCATAAATTTGACGCCGTACCGAGCGACAAACCGCGGTCGATCCGACGTACTTTTAGATTCGAGGCGGCTCTTACAACGTTTGGATGAAATGCTGAAATTGAAGGGAAAGAAGAACTATGAGAATCGTGCAATTGGTCACGATACTTCCGAACGGTACGAAAGTCTGTTTTCCTTTGACAGAAATAATATAGGGCACTTTCGAAGCGTATTGGATCTGGGCGCGACTGCTCGCTGTCTTTGTATAACGCGAAAATATATTACAACAAGCCGGCTTGAAAATCCATCGAAAAATACTCGACACTATTTTTAACTTTTGTTTTCAAAATTTATTACACAGGGATATATGACTCCAAGCTAATTTTAGCGCAAATCTTTTTATTTCCGTCTGAAAAACTTACTCGCGAATACGTTTAATTATATTTCATAATATTTTAACTGTAATGTCTCTTTCACTCGTTATATTCTTAAAAAAATTGTGTAAATTCATGCGTGTCGGCTTCTTTCATGTAGTATATTTGCTACTTTCTGATGCATTGTGACGTAATCCGTGCCTGCGAACGTATCTAAAGCGTATTTCGAAATCCTGACCAATAACCGGGCTTATCCCCTCGCTCTCCTCTCCCCCCTCCCCTCATGGGCAGAGATTATGTGCTTCGTCTTTCTAGCGGATATTAGAAGTCCGTTTGCCTCATTCCTTTTCCGGGTTGTCTTCCTGTAGCGAGAAAATTCAACTTGTTAGATTGGCGCGGGCGGGGGAGGGGACTCTTTACACGGCAGTTGCTAGAACTGATACATCTCTCGAGGATTATCCCATCCTTCTACGAGAAATAGTTAGGTCGAGACCTTGGGACAGGGATAGAGAAACAGAGAGAAAGCAGAGCAATTCGTCAAGGCGAAGTGAAAGGGAGTCGCCGGGCGCGCGGGGGCGAACAGCTGGGAAAATGATTTCGGAGCGCATCTTTCACATAGTCGGGATTTCTTAGATCCTCGTGGCAAGATGAGAGGGATCCTCGGCAAAGTCTCTCTGACTACCGAACCTGAACCTGAGCGAGCTCCGACCGCGGGGGAAGGGAGGGGCGGGGGGGGGAGGAGGACCGAGAGACCGTTTGAATCGTCGAATTTTGATAGAGAGAGAGAGATATTGCCATTCCCTCGCGTGGTCTCACCGAATTCTATCGCGGTCTCCTTTATTTTTCTGCACTCCGCTTGTCTCTTTCAACGGTGCCGGTGTTTTATAAAAGACCAGATTGCGGTTTCCCTCGGTATCGTCGTCGAAAAACGACGACGGCGCTTGAAAATTGGCTTTATTACCTCTTTCTGTTCGATCTGCGCGCGGACCGTGTGCCAAGCTATGTAAAGCTATGCTTATAAGATACTTCGGCGTCTTCGATCGCGGCTGAGAATAGGGAGGATGACACAGTTGCGAAAATTCTATCGAGCAGCGTTGAGGGGGGGGGGGAAAGATAGACGCTACCGTTTGACGTGCCATTAAGTATCGTTATATTTAATTTTCGATAAATTCTAAATTTTTCACATCCAAGTTTCTTATATTTAGCAGATGCCGTGTTACGCAATGTAATGATGAATCTTTTATTTTTTTTCTCCTCGTAAATCCGTTTAGGCAGATGTATAATACGCGTATTGTTTGTAAAACATCTCGTAACGAGACGTTTACTTTTGTTATGTGCATTTACCTCGAATTTTCGCAGAATTATTTATTCAGTACGATGTAGTAAAAGCAAGCCAATGGCTCCCGCGTATGCATTCGCGCGCGTCAAAATTATTCGTTTTTGCGTTTCGACATTGAGATACATGTGATGTATGTTGCGAATTTAAGTTTGTTTTCGGCGAAGTTTGAATCGTTTTTATTTTGTTACGTGTCGCAACTGAAACACTTTGATAAAAAGATTGCGACTAAATTTGTTGTGATTCACCTATAAAAATAAATAACTCTTTTAAAAGAGAGCTTTATTGTAATCTTTTCTAGTGACGTGTGACATGTTGAGAAATCCGCCATTGGTTACGCAATTTTATAAGGAGAATATACTTGCGCATATCTTCTTGAAAAGTTACGTAGTCGCGTATGCTTCCTGCTGATAAGGCCATTCAAAATGTCAGCAAATACAGGGATTTACTCTGTCGTGTTATGTACATCGAGATAGAAAGTGAAAGTCTTTTTTGATATCATACACGCATTGTAAATACATTTTTTTACTACAAACTTAAAATTTTCAAAGATTAAATTTTCAAAAATTTTCAAAGATTAAAATTTTCAAAGTTTAATAGATTAAAAAATAATTAAAATTATAATTTTTTCATATCTTTGACTCTTTTCTCGATATATTTGCACTTAAATGTATGTATTTTCTATCTAATACAACATTTTATTATAAATTGATCGATAAAACTCTAAAATAATAGCGACAATTTTATAAAACATTTTTATCTATTTAGTACATATTACATTTTGTTGCAGGTGCAAACTTTCCGGGGCTACCACGTTCATTTTGGCATGAGCTCAGTTCACCTTTTACAGAGGTATATTAATCGCATATTGTTAGATTTTCGAAATTGATCAAGTTAATTTAATATCCAGAATATTTCATCATTTTAAATATTTCAATTGTTTCGTATTTTGACAAAAAATGTTTCGAAAATATTACATACACTCTTAGAGAGAAAATATGATGCACAAAATATTTTTTGTTACATGCATTTTTTATGAGATACCGATATCTTTTTTTCATATATCATCGATATCTTTTTTTTATACGTGTCACCTTTTCCGTTTAAAATGTGAAATTTATATGTGAAACATTTTATTTTAAAATAAAAGGCAATTGGGACAATTAAAATATTATATTAAAACTGTCCATTCTTAATAACATTTGAATTTCGTTTTCATCAATGCTGTACATCTAAATCGCTTATTTTGAAAATAATGTCAGTCTAATTTTGACATAGTTCAACGAGACAAATATAATACAATGTAATTCAAACTTAACAGAATTTTTGGAATGATATTTTCAAAATAAACGACTGTACTAATAACACATTATATTTTTCCAAATTTGATATAGGCTTTTATTACATCTTTTCAACAATTTTCGTAATGAAACATGTATTTATGAATGTAAATAATTTTATCTGTGTGTTATCAAAATTTGCAATTCAGATTGCTTTTACCATCATTCACCATTTGAACATATTCAGTATTTAGATAAAATATTATATGTACTTAGAATTAATGGTAGTTGCTTCATGTTGTTTTAACAGCAAAGAGACAATGGTTTTCCTGATTACATTACAAGCATGTTAAATAATAGAAGACGCAGATACATTTTAGCTTTTATCGTAGGTTTACGAGGTGGAGAGTTTCGTGACTGAAACAGGCGGCACTCCTGAACCGAGGCCATTTTTTGAGGATCCAGAAAGCAACATTACCGTACAACTCGGTGCACAAGTCTACATGCACTGCAGAGTACAAAATCTACAAAACACTCTCAAAGTAAGTTATATGTTTCTATCTTCAGGAATATTCAACATGACGCGTGAATTTGTCGACTGACTCGATTCGCGCGATTTATTCCGCTTTTATGTAAACACACCGACATAAAATTTTCTAAATAATATATAAAGAATCTTTTTTCACATAAATCTTTATTCTTTTACGATCTTTATTGTCATAAAAAACATAAAAAAAACATAAAAAAAAAACCGTAGCACGTTAAAATATTTTAGAGCACTTTCTTACATATGAGAATACGTATGTGCGTAATAAACATTTTTATGCGATATTACGTTATCTTCTAAAAGCCAAGCACTCTACACTGTTTTATATTTGTTGATTTTCTCGTCCTCTTTCTCATGTGCAGCTACTATGCAGCACTTAGCTCATCCTAATTCTCCCAAAGGAAATTCCGCGGATAGCGGTGAGATATTTTCTTCCTAATTTTGTGGCTATGTTACTCTATTATTATGATGCAAATGACGGTTATGATATACGACTTTTTTTCTTTTTTTATGTCGTATGTCTTATATGTTTATTTAAGTTATAAAATCGCTCAGTTATCATATAAAAATCATACGTAAAGATATTTTTTATTAAATATAATTATATTCTTATTTCGTAATTATTTATAGAGTAAAGTTTTGGAAACTTACAGAAGTGTAAAATTATTAGAATATAATTAAAAATAGTATTCAATGAAATTCTTGTTATCTTTTTGTTAAAGTAATATATTTAATATTATTAAAATCTTGATTTATTAAAGTAATATATTTGTTAAAGTAATATATTTAATATTATGAAAATCTTGATTTATTGATATTATTGGAATAGAATCACAGTATATTAACAATCTCTGTAACAATCTCTACACATAAATAGTTTTCAAGTTTTTGCTTGAGTTTCCGTAGTTGCCTAATTCCAGTAGACAAAATACACTTTGATGTATTGTTTCTTAGCACGGCATTGTTTCTGATCGGTTTACACCTATCGCGCTTAAAGGATCTAATCCTTAAGCGTACAGATGCAATGAGAGCATTCAGCAGAAACTGATAGTTGTGAGCCTTTGAAACAGTTTGGAATTTGATATTGCCGAAGCTCTTAAGTAGCACTTTGTTACCAGTAAATACCGATAGTGACACAATGTGGACGATTTCTCTTTAGTTTTGCAAGAAAAAGAAAATTTGTTAGTGATAATAATCTTATCACTAAAGTTAATTTTTTTAAATTATATATCACTTTTGTTATTGATTTTATAAAATCAAATAATTTAACACGTATTTATGAAATATATTCATAAACAAAACAATCCTTTTTGCAAAAGGATATAAAATTTTGGCAAAATACAGATTTGAAAATAATTTTGTTGGTCTATTAAAATAATGTTGTATAAAACCAGTGTCCAACAGTTGGATAAAATATTAAAAATTTTTGCAATATTATCATGCTTAAACATTTTACATAATTATTATAATACTAGAATAAAATTATTTTCAGATTTGTATCTGAACCAGATTTTTAGATACTTCAATAAAAATCATTCTTTCCATGTTAATGATGAAAATATTTATCGCTTCTTCGTTCGATTTACAAGTGTTTATCTGAACATATGTTTGTCGATATCGGTCGTCATAAAAAAGAAGAGGCAAAAAGGAAACCAGCAGTAAATGCACCGTTACGTTTACGATATATCACGATCAATAAATCGTTGGTGAACTTACCAATCTCTCGAGCAAAGCTCGAGTCGCATAGAAAGCATTTACAAACAGTGTACCAGAACATTTTGCTCGTTGGTTTGCGAGTACTTGGAATTCAATCTTTCTAAGTGAGAGTGCGGTAGAAGTTGAGTGGAACAAGTTGTTTCATACAGTGGAATGAGAGTCGTATACATTTGTTTACAGTCTTATGAACGCGTTTTTGAACTCGATTTAAGAACTGATTTAAGCTCTTATTCGACTTACTGAATATACGTGAAATAAATATGTGTGAAATTATCAAAAGTTGAATGACATTATTATCGTCAAATTATGCATACGAAATTGTTTCAAATCATATCACGTGAATAAAAAATATAAAATAAAATTTCTATAGTCACGTGCCATTAGATGAACCGAAGTGTTCTTCTATCAGACATGCCAAATATTTGCGAGAATGCCAACGTGCTTTAAAAGGAATTTATGTTATGACTGATATTTTCGGTATCTTCGTCGCAGCAAATTTTTCATACTGACGGAAGCACTTATTTCTAATATTTATCTGGGACTACTTTAAAATTATTAATTCATATGTCTGACATTAATTCATATGTCTGACATAAATTATTTTAAACTGAGTGCATATTATGCATATTTTTGAAAATAATGAATTCAAATCTATCATTTGTATTGTCAAGTTATTAGTAGAATTTATTGTATATATAAAATTTGATGATATAAAATACATGATGGTAATAATTTAATAATATAGAAACATACTATTGTTAAATTAGTAAAACATTTTCCGCGTGGTAACAAAAGACGAGAGATTGTTTATTTTACTCTGACGGATGCTGAGGAAAACAATGGCGCAGCAACTTCATTAATAGTAACAAAAGACTTGTTTCTTATTCGGGGATCAATAATGTTAATAAGATGATAGCTTTAACTATTCTCTAATGTAGGATCCATGAGTTTGCTGTTCCAGCTGTTTATTCTCAGTCGCCCAGTGTCGGACGAAGAATGATTGACTTAAACTACTTAAGGACGGTCCATGTCTGTAAGCAGTCATCCGTTGGTTGATGAAATAATCAATTTATGTAAAGCATCTCGGCGCGCATATTTTAATCACGTATTCTGAATACATTTATTTCAGATTATCGCTATCCTACTTCCGTTTAAAAGTATCGAACTCTATGTACGATCGAGAAAAAAGTCGTAAGTCGGGAATCTATGGGAGAAATATCTCTTTGGAAATTGCTTTATAACTCTCTTTCATTATTTGTGCACATAATATAATATCGATTATATATAGGTATTATTTATTAATGAGATGTCTATGTCTAGTTAGATTCGTAAATGGGAAAAGACAGTATATAACTCAAAGTTACTGGCGCGATGCAAATATCGCGGTTCTTATAAGTAAGACTTTCGTATTCCGAATTGTCTCAAAGTCGTTATGAAAGTTCTTCCTGTTTTCCTGCGACTTTCTACACATATAACGTGCACATCGCTCGAACTTTTAACGATGTTTCCGTCTCGAGCCACTCAAGTTTATACCTGTATAATTAGTTTGACGAGAAGGTCGTTAGAACATTAATTATAAACGAACCGAGACTCTCTCTATCAGTGATACGACAGTGACATTTTAGGTACTGCTTAAAGTAGATACGAGTAGTGTAGTACGTTCAAGAAGGAGACATTGTAAAATGGTGTAAAATCCTCAGTAGTATCCTCAAGTATCCTCAATTAATTGAGAATCGAAAACACCAATATCAAAATGCCGAGATTATAAAATTTTGCAGAGAGTTTTGCAGAGACGATCAATATTATCAATTAATTGATTATTAGTATATATATGTATATATATATATATATATATAATAAAATAAAACCGAAGTATCAGCTGAATAGTAAAAGTATCATCTGTGAAAATCGAGCACGTAAGCGAAGTATTGAATTTTATATTCAAATAAAACAAAAATGTAAAAATGTATTTGGATTAGTTGATCAAAATTTTTGCCTACAAAATTTTGTTTGTATAAGCAAACTTTCGAGACTTTTCCTTCCTTTTTCTTGTGTTGCTCAATACAAGCTGCACGGAGATTGCTATATGTAGATAGAATAGATATTGAATAAGTGCTTCTCGATTGTTCGACCGCACTGATTCGTTGTGTGCATCAATTCCAGAGGGAATCGCGTGCTGAATTGTCTTCCTACTCGCAGTAGTATAATATTGTGTGATGCGTAGAAAATGGAGGATATCGCTTTCTTGAATCTAATCGAGAATGAAATTTCAGAAAGGAGTTCTGCGAAACGTGCTTTCCGAATAATATCAGACAAATTAAAAATCAAAATTTCAGCATCGGTGTATCAAATGCAATTATATGAAATATTAATGCTTAATTGATACACGTAAACGTTGTGTTATTGAAAACATAGTATTTTATGTACAAAACAATGATGAATCACTGAAATTAAAGTCTGTAAATTGTACCTGGTAGCAAATTATTATATTTTACGCGTTCTGTATTCGATTGAAGTTAATTAATATCTAGACATGTTGATGTGTAACAATTATCAATAAACGAAATGTAATTTTATATTTTTTGATGTTTTAATTAAATTATACAATCAAGTTTGTTTTGTCATTATGCAAAGTCTCGTTCGGATGTAGCTATTTAAAGTTAAGATTTGGTAGAAAAATAAAAGTATAAATATTTATTTTAATTATTGTGAACATCTCA